ATGCTCCCCCTCAGAACAGAAGGGCAAAGCACCGCCTACGGATTTTGAGCGGATAACAGAGTGTACAATGAGCCCCAGTAAATTCAAAAATGTACAAAGAAGATAATTAGGGGCTGATTAAATATAATTACGACAGCGTTGGTAGCGTCAGGCGGTTGAAGGAGAAACGGTGACAGCGTCTGCCGTCGTTCCGCCGCCCGTATGTGTTTGTTGGAGTGGTATCTGTGGCGTGATATGGACGTCACTGGTTGAAATGCGCAGGCAGCGTCTCAAGTTTTTTTGTATGCGTCAGGGTGGGTTCCGCTCGGCTGCGTGCTTCATCGCCGGAGTGCATTGAAGAAGAAGACGGACGTGCAGGGTGATAGGTGGAAGGAACATGGAGCACAGTACAATGCAGCGCGTGGGCGGTTGATGCGCGGTGGATGACTCCTTGCAGCGCTTTCGGGCCCACCCAAAAGGCTCTCACAGACTCCGCACTTCTGAGCGCATCGCTGACCAGGGAGCTTGAAATTGAAAATCAATTAGCTCCATTTCTAATGCAGCCTCGTCTAAGGAGGGGATCATTTGTTTCGCCTGGGAGGTGAAGTCTCCACTTGGTCGGACTGTGAAAGGATCGCGTACAAAGGCAATGATGTCTTTTGGGATGGAGTAATCCTCAAACATTGACGTGAAGTTGGCCCGTAGCTGCTTGATGAAGTCCACCATCAGCTCTGTCTCTTGTCCCAGTGCCTGTGATTTTAGTGTACTGAAATGGAGGAGCCTGCCAGTGGATATGTCTGACTCGAACAACTCCAGCTTCCTTCTGAAGGGTTCAAGCTTTTCAACCATGTCCACTATGGTTTTGCCTCTCCCCTGTAGCTGCCGGTTAAGCTGGTTTAGGTGGCCAAATATATATGCAAAACATGCTACATTGGACATGAAATAGGGAGGTTTTCGCGCAGTGGTTAGAGCGTTGATCATCAGATCAAGGGGCGTAGGTGAACTCCAGTTCGAAACCCAACTCGGCCGCCACTGCGTCAGGCCGTTGTGTCAGGCCGTTGTGTCCTTGGGCAAGACACTCTACCCGCATTCGCTCCTGTGGGTAATATCCACGGTATTGACATTTACATGTCTAATATGTGTAATACGTAATTTCAAAGCGCTTTGAGCACCTGTAAAAGCGCTCTAATTAAAAAATGTAATCCATTATTATTATTATTATTAACTTTTCGTCTCCCAGAAGGGCAAGGTGGTCAGCTGCTGCCCTAATCTTGCTCAATCTAAGAAACGCCTTGACCTCTAAAACTATTTAGTATCCTATCCATGTGAACATGATTTAAGTCGGGGGGACCTAACCTCCTCTAGGGGGTCCGGGGGCATGCTCCCCCAGGAAGATTTGTTTTTAAATGTTGAAGTTAAAAGCATCAATCTGGTGCACTTTGAGAGCAAAATTAAGTGATCTATCGATACCTCTCTCAACACCCATATGAAACAGAACAGTAAGCAGATTTTCTTTTTCTTCATCGATATTTTACATTTCGCTCCCCTTTCAAACTGTATTCTTGTTTATTAATAACAACTTTGTTTTACTGTCATATAGTATTTTATATTTGTTTACTTAATTCTCCTATTTTTGTATAACTATAACGATCATATAAAGATGTACAACCTCACTGGTTGTAGAAAAAGCTTCTTATATTCGTTAGCATAGCTAGCTAACCAGATGCTAATAACAACAAAGTTATTACTGTATGATCAGTATGACGGATGAACAGATCGCCACTGGGCTTTCAACTAAAGACACAGCCAAGCAAAAACTGCGGCATGTGTGCGGCTCCTTATGGGTACTGCAATTTTTTAAGTGCCGGCCCGGAGCGACGTCCTGGTGCTCTCCGTCAGAACTGCACCCCTGTCAGATGAGACATATACCACGTGATGACACGTTAGGCTCCTGTTGTGTTCAAGGACCCTGACCTTGGCCAGGAAAAACAGGCACTCGCTTGTTTAATTATTTTGCGGTCTAGATTTCTTTCATTCTTTTCTTTTTTGCGTGTGTTTATAAATTACCTCGAGGGCCGTACCAAAAGGTCTCGCGGCCCGTATACAGCCCGGGGGCCGGAGGTTCCCCACCCCTGAGTTAGACCATTATGGGGCCGTGAAAGATGTGTCAGCAAGTAAGTCCACCAGCTCATGAGAAAATATAAGAGATGTCCAGAAATCCACAGTTTCTTTGCCCCAGTCTAACAAGGTGCCACATTAACATCATGAATTCAGTTAAAAAACTAACCAACCAAGGGAAGTGACACACGGGGGGGGGGGGCAATCATTTCTAATTGCATTTGATGATAAGAGAGATAATATAAGTTAATATGGCCACAGCTTTGAAAGATACTTCAGTCTCTCCAGTTGAATCTGTCCAAATGAAAATGAAGAATAATTGTGTTTCCTCCCCTCCCTCAGTGCTCCCAGCTCCTGGACGAGGTCATGAGGGAGGAGTACTTTGAGGAGCTGAAGGAGGAGTACGAGGATATCAGACAGGAGCACTACGACTCCCTGAAGGTGAGAATGAATGGTAGAAACACAACCTTAACAACATCCAAACACTGAGACAGACACACTTCTGAAAGCCTTTAGTGTGGAACTGGCAGTCTGAGAATCCCTCTTTTTTTTCGATCTTCTATAGTGTGATAGTTTGGAAAATATAGGAGAGTCGTCACAAAAGCATCATACAAGACAACAGGAACTACCGTAATTTTCGGACTATAAGGCGCACCTGAATATAAGCCGCAGCAGCGGCATACCACTCTCGGTTCCACTTTTACTTTTGCGCGCTACCTGTCTCACTCTTTTCCGGCCTCCAGCTTTTCCTGCCGGAACCCGCCGCTTAAAGGTGGGGGTCCGCGGACCGGCCATAGAGCCCATAGAGTTAAAGGTGTTGGCCGTTAGCTGTAAAAATCCATAGATTAGCCGCACCGTTATATAAACCGCAGCGTCGAAAAATAGGGAAAAAGGCGCGGCTTATAGTCCGAAAATTACGGTAGTTAAAGTAATGGGAATCCGCCAAATGTAAACCAAATGTTCAGGTCATCAAACCATCTGTCAAACTCTCTCCCTCTACCCTTCTTTTTCTCTCTCAGTCTTCACTGGCCAACAATGATTCCCAAATATTGTTTGTTTTAGTTTAGTTTGATGCCACAGCTGACTTTAAGAAGGTTTTTAATTATATTCTCATGACAGACATAATGACAATGGGGTAATTTAAGGCGGCCCCACATGACATTCACGACATCAGTAAATCTATTTACTTCCTCAGATCTCCACTAAGCCTTTAGGACCGTCCAGTTGTGATGCTTGTGGCTCACTCTAATGCGTGCGGTAACACAACTAACTATGGTCAATCACAATCACTGTCAGGAATATGGGGGTAACTGCTACAGTAAAACTGTCTCTTTTATGCAACCATTATTTATAATGTGGAGTCAGTTATTTATGTATTTTCAAACCGACAAGACAAGAAAACAGCGGAGAAGTAACGGGCAGAGACCCTCCTTTTTACACAGACATAGACATCAAACGGCGACACATATTCAGTTGCCAGTTACTTTGGCATTAGGGCAGGGATATCTAGATACTTCCCAAGGTTTGACATAATGAATTGTGCTACTTTTAAAGCAAGCAGCGATGTTTTCAAATCTGTAATCAAAAAGGTCGAAACAGTTCCTGCCGTTGCTACGTAGTTCAAACAGTAACATCAGACTATTTTTCTTAGCGGATGCATTTCATTTAAAATAAATAATAGCCTACTATTTTTTAAATCAATAAAAACATTTTCTAAATCTATAAATGCATTTAAATTAATATCGTTACTTTGTTGAGAATGTGGCCATGTAATAAGCGTGTTCAAGATCCCTCCGCTTCGCGTCGGGCTCCTGAAAATGTAATCTCTCTCTGTGTGTCCTCAGGACCGTCGGTACCTGTCTCTCTCTCAGGCCAGAGACAAGGCTCTGCATATAGACTGGCTCTCTGCGCCCACACCAGGTCAGTCAGCCACATCACTTTATTACAATGTTATCAAAGCAAAACCTTTGTGTACATATAACATTTCTATTGAGGATTTCAAATGAATCTGTTGTCATATCTTACGACGTCACACCACTAAACAATTCACAACATCATTCAAATGCTTTGAAACGTCGTATCATTGAATACAGCCCTATCTTCAGTGTGGTGTTAGAAGGAGCAGATACAGAAGACATGCTGTATGTAATACTTTGTTCATGCCTGCATGGACCGCTCTCTGTCCCGTGTCTCAGTGCGTCCTCACTTCCTGGGTACTCGTGTGTTTGACCGCTACGACCTGAACAGTCTGGAGGAGTTCATCGACTGGAAGCCTTTCTTTGACGTGTGGCAGCTGAGGGGAAAGTACCCCAACAGAGGTTACCCCAAGATCTTCAAGGACAAGACTGTTGGTATGAGCTCCACCTCTGTTATCATCAATCACTCCACAGACATCTCTCCTGCGACACCACATGCTGCTTACATGTTGATAAATGCCCTTATATATTTGACTTTTTCAACAGATCTCGACACTCTGTATAATGGCACGAAGAAAACTTCATTTTTTCTTTTCATAAGACTTTCAAGGAGTGTTTACAATGCATTACAATCTGCTTCTAGCACTGTTTAATAATATGACATTAAATTGTAATGTTTAATAAAGCTTTATTAATTTGTGTTAGTTCTTGTAACTCTAATTAAACAATGCTTTAAGCTGATTATTTTATCCATGTGTGTCATAGGAAGTGTCACTGATAATTTAATACGGTCGTTTGTCCTGTTTTCTTTTAGATAATTGTTACAAACTAATTAAAGTATCATGTTGAAATTATTATATTATCTATCATACTAATATTGTATGTATTATATTTAAACATTCATGTTATTCACAAAAAGTTAGATGAATATCCCCCCATGGATTAACACTATACTATGGATGTTATTGTTACACGTTAGTTGATTGAGGGAAACATTTTATATATATAATATAAGTATCTCATAAATATGTATATAATGTGGTGCATAGCTTTGTGACTTAAAGGCAGTTACTGGAGAATAGTGCAGTGAAATCTCCAGTGCCAACATTGAAAGCTACAATAACTTTACAACTAAATAACACATAGGCGCTGGCAGCAGTGATTCAGTGGGATGTGTCCCAGCCTGGTTGTCACGGAGATGATACCATGTCTGAGCAGTGTTGTCTTCCTGCAGGTTCTGAAGCGCGGCGAGTCTTCGATGAGGCCCAGCGGCTGCTCCACCAGATGATTGACAGTGGCAGTCTGAAGGGGCGGGGCCTGGTGGGGTTCTGGCCCGCCCAGGGTGACGGTGATGACATCAGAGTGTACCGAGAAGACGCCCCGGCAACCAGAGACGCCCAGCCCATCGCCACCTTCCACGGCCTGAGGCAGCAGGTGAGTTTAAGAAACAGTGGAGGACTATTTAAGTTGAGCGTCTGCCTTACAAACGTACACGAAGATTTCCCCTTGATCAGCCATGACCAACCTATCAGCTTCAGATATAACTATGTGCTGATCAAATTTACATGCATGAAAATCTATTAAAAAATGTATTCTTTTATAATTCAGCAGTGAACGGCACAAGGCCTCTCCCCTCCTCTGGTTGTATGTGTAGGGCAGCATATGATATATTACACACAACTTTACATTCTTGTAAACAGACACTGATTAATAAATAGTTGCGCATAAATAAATGGACAAATGAAAAAATTGTTGAATTGTAATTTTCCATTAAAGAAAAGCTTTAAAACATGTTTGTGTATTTTATAGTTATTAGAAAGAAAGACAATTGGGAGCGGCATGTCAGACATAAAATGGGAATGAGATATAAAATATTGCATGGTTATAAGTATATAATTGAACATATCTGACCTCTGTAGCACTTAACTTTCTGAGAACAGAAGGCATAAACAAAGCATTATGCTGCGTCACCATGGGGAGGCATTAACCAGCTGATGGGTGGTGCCTGCATGCTTGTCAGGTGTAGTATTCAGGATTTAAATATTTTGTTCTTCTTCAGTTTCTGATTGTGACCTTGAAAATGCAGCCAAAAATAAAGGGTAACTAATTTCCACAGTAGTAATTTAGTGTGTGTGTGTTTCTTTGTGTGCAGTTGGAGAAGGACAGCTCTAGCTCCGAGCCCTACCTGTGTGTGTCTGACTTCGTTGCCCCCCTGGACAGCGGTGTGTCGGACTACATTGGTGTGTTTGCTGTGGGGGTGTTTGGAGCTGAGGAGCTGAGTCAGCACTTCCAGGCTCAGGGAGATGACTACAGCAGCATCATGGTCAAAGCGCTGGCCGACCGCCTAGCTGAGGTACGTCAAGTGTTGCTTTGGTTAACGAGTCCCTGCTGCTGCCTCTGTGTTTTCTGGTTCCTGCTAACCCTGTCCCCCCCCAGGCCTTCGCTGAGGAGCTCCACGCTCGTGTGCGTAAGGAGCTGTGGGGCTACAGCACCGACGAGGCTCTGCAGGCCTCAGACCTCCACAGAATCCGGTACCAGGGCATCAGACCTGCAGCTGGATACCCCAGCCAGCCGGACCACACAGAGAAGACCACCATGTGGAGCCTGGCCGGGGTCCAGGAGAAGACCGGTGAGAGCGCTGAGCATTTCACTGTCTTACTGCTGCTGATGGGCTGCTAATGCTGTCCTGTTGTTTCAGAGGAGATGCACGTCCAAGGTTTTCTTAGCCTTTCAATAGTTCAATGAAATGTATTATCTCTTCTCAGCCTGTTCACTTGTACTCATATAGTCAGGCTACATGTAAGCACACATGTATATGCACTGTAGTAACTACATGCGCTGTAGTAACCTGGTTACTTTTAAGTAGGGGTTTACTGGTTTAGATTTGAGTTCGGAAAAAAGCAATCATAATCAGCTTTCAATTTCTACCTTCCATAAAAAAACAGGATCGGCCATTCTCCATTTTTTTTCTTTCTTTATCAGTGGCTCTTGTCTTTTATTGAAAATAAAACACTGACCTGCTGTTATCCTATTTCCTGCGTCTGTGTTCACCTCTTGAGCTTTTGTGGATTTGTGTGTTTTTAATCATGTGGCTATATGTTTTCTTGCCTGTATCTAATACAGTCACTATGTGTGTGTGTGTGTGTGTGTGTGTGTGTGTGTGTGTGTGTGTGTGTGTGTGTGTGTGTGTGTGTGTGTGTGTGTGTGTGTGTGTGTGTGTGTGTGTGTGTGTGTGTGTGTGTGTGTGTGTAGTGTGGTGTG